ATTTTTTTTTCATTTTAAAATTATTCAGTACATTTTTCTATGGTGCACCGCCTGTCAGTTGTAGTACCATCGAGATAACACTTTGAAAATCGAACTCCTAATTTATTCGTCGACGGTCGTCGCGAAGGAATAAAACTACCGCAGTGCTGTTCCCAAATGATCACCATGAACAGCCATTCGAACGACATCGACTACAGTAACGGGTACATGGAACCGGAAGAAGAATGGGAACGGGAAGGGCTGTTGGACCCAGCGTGGGAAAAACAACAGAAAAAGGTAAACGTTTGTAATTTTCAAGATCATCCGCTGACTTGAGTGCTATAAATTATGAGTAGTGTTARATCGAAGACAGCGGTTGACTTAACCGCGCTTAGATGATCCACTGTAGTCGCGAAATGCGAATGATCGGTCACATAATTTGTCTTGCAAATCGAAATTTTTTTGAAAAGTAGTTCCTATACAAAACATACAAAAGATAGATAAGMGATAACTACCTTCTTCAAGGTTCGGGTTTTTTTTCCCATCATCAAAACAGACTTGTGATTTAATTTGATTATCTATTAAAGTTTACACAGTGATAACAGTATCTGGTTTCTGTAGCTTAAGAGTTTCAACAGCTCAAGTTACATATTATATTATGACTTCTGTATTAAATGTAATTTTAGTTGTATTAATACATTTTGCTGGTAGATACATACTTGTTGAGTTATTTTTGAAAAAAAAAATATAAACATATTTTGTTAAAAGAATAGTAGGTTCAGTACACTATAAGAATATTTTTTTGGTTATTTTCTATTTAAGCAGAAATGAAGAGGCTTAGGCTTGTACTAGAGTACTTTAACTTTCAATTGTTATCCAAAATGTTATCACATAAATTTGACAATTATTTTGGATTCTTTTGCCTGCTTGGAGATTTTTATGCTATAATTTAATATTGATTATCATGTATAACTAATCTGTTAAAATAAATGTAACCAAATTAATTCAGAAGTTAATTTTATTTTAAGTATTATATTATTGTATAGGTATCTGGTATGTGTATTACGGTGTATTATAATTGTGATATTTATAACAAATAATCTTAATGTTGTTATAAGAGAAGTACCTATAGAGAAAAAAAAYCCAACAGCTAATCTTGGTATCTGTTAAAACTCTTTTTATTAGGCTAGTTATTAGATTAAATGTTGAAAAAAGTTTCATAAGATACTAGATTTTACCAAAATGTTGGCCTATATGTTGGCTTACTTTCAATTTCTGCATTGAGTTAATTATGAATTTATCCAATACTAATTAGTCTGGTATATTTGTTTAATTTCACAAATTAGTTAGGCACCTATTTAATATACCCACTGAAGTTTGTAGATATAACTACCTTTTATAAATT